ATAGGGATATATATGAACTAGATTCACTTTTGTTTTACTCTCCAGCAACCAGCAACAGAAGTCCAGGTGTTGTTAAGGGGTTAGAGTCGAGGGCAATTGTCGAGATATGATGTTCCAAGCGCAACAGCTCTCTCTAAAGAGAGAACTATTCATCCAACATACCCACTGCCCTTGAACACTGATATGTAGTTAGGTTCTCCAGCCCAAGGCTTGAAATCAATGCATGTTTTCAGGCGATAGCGTTCAAAAGCATTGAGGATCTCTCCCTTAGCATTCATGTCTGGGGGAAAAAATGAAACAAAACAAATATTTATTTACACATTTATTAAAATAATTACCACTGAACTATGCATCTAATAGGCAGAGTTATGTTGCTTGAGTTAGCAGATAAAAAGGAAGACCATGCATGAGACGGACTGAGACAGTGGTTGCAGTTATGGGTTCAAACAGGACAACACTGTGAGCCGGGCACAGGAGCAGACACTGTTCCATACTGGTGCACACAGAGTTGCTATGAGAACACATTCATGCTTCATCAGTGCTTTGTTTACACAATATTTAATTTCAACATTAGTTAAGTAAGTATGACATGCAAGTGTTTTTTAAAAAGTTTTGATCCTTTGTTTTGCCTTTCCCTTATATTTATTTCACAGGAGCCATTACAGACACATTATAGAGTAAGAAAAAGAACAAGCATACACATAGACTCACGGGAAACCAAAATAAATAATCACCATTACCTTCTCCGCCTGAGAAGCTTAGTACATGTATGTAGTAAAAGCATGTCTTTTAATATGAGCACCTTGAACTTGTAGGTAGGCCACATGAATACTTTTAAATAGCACACAGAGAGGAGAGAGGGAGAAAGTGAGGGGGAGAGGGGGAGGGGGAGGGGGAGGGAGAGGGAGAGGGAGAGGGAGAGGGAGAGGGAGAGGCAGAGGGAGAGGGAGAGAATGAATGTGTGTGATGAATTTTTCTAGAAAGAACTTTTTTGAAATTCCCAAATTAATCCAGAGTCTAATCACTGCTTTAAAACAAATAATGATTCTTGCAGGACAGGCACTCAAAGCAGACAGAAGCATAAAAGTCCGAGAGACAAGCAGCAAAAGAGCTCTGGGAGAAGCTGGAGGGGAGGCCTATATGAGAGAAGCTAAAGAAAGGGCCTTTATGGGAGAAGCTAGGGGGGTGGGGGCTAGATGAGAAAGGTTGGAGGGAGGGCCTATGAGAGAAGCAGGTGCTGTTATGTGCCTTTGAATCACGTGCGACTCATAGAGACCATGTTTACAATAGCTTTGAAGCCTGCCCTGTCCTAAGCCAGTCTCACTGACTCAGACGGAGACCCTATATGGGAGAAGCAGAGGGAGGGCTTGTATGGGAGAAGATAGAAAGAACACCTGTCTCAGCCGCTGGTGGAGAGACCGTGACAGTGGAGTCAGACACTGGCAAAGTGAAGGATGCTGACCTCCCAGGGAGTAAGTAGACAGTATGGCAAAGGAAAACACTTGAACTTTGGAACCAGACACACCTAAGTTGTCTCCTATCCCCACAGGTGGCCTTTGCCAGTTGAATTAACCTTTGGAGCACTGATGTTATCATCAGTAAAATGAGGAAACAAAATCAGCTTTGTGGGGATAGTATAAGAGAAAAGAAATGTAAAGAGGTTCCAGTAACAGGAACAATTACCCAATATTTTATTCCCTTCCTCCCCTCGTAAGTGACCATCAAACACACATTTGGGAAAGATTCATCAGAATATCTCTCTCTCTGGGAAAGCAAAGAGCATTCGCACGGGTAGGGTATTCAGGGATAAAATAAAAGCCCAATATGATTTGTAAGCTTTCACACAAATAACGTTTTTAGAAAGAAAAAGCAGAAGCTCTCCCCAAAAGAACTAACTTCATTTCTTAAAATAAAAGGCATTCAGTGCATTATAAATAAGTTAGAACATACATATGAACAAAAAGAGGAAAATTTAAAATGCTAACACCTGAAAATAATCAACAATTATCACACATTTATTTTCTTAAGAATATATATATATTGCAACAATGAATGAAAGGAAATCCAAAATCTTTGTAAATGTTCATTAAAATTAATAAAATAAAATAAAAATTATATATATATATATACTTTTGTTGTTGAGTATTGTCGAGCCAGAAGTGGCTCATAACTGACCCTCCAGTTGGCTTTCAGAGGCAGTAATCGCACAAGAGATTACGATCCTTCTCCCACAGAGCAGCTAGTAGATTCCAACCATGTACCTTTGGGTTGGCAGCACATTTCCTTACCAGTAAGCCAACAGAGGTTTTTATATAATACACATACAATTTTTAAAAACACACCTGGTTTTAATAGGTTTTGGTCAAACATTCTTCTAAGTGGTATAGCACTGGTGTGTCTATTTACTGTACAGAGGTAACACGTGGTTGCTGTGATGCTGAACACTGTGCCACTGATGTGTCAAATGTGATAATGGTTACCCATGGGGGACAGTGTTTGGTGGAGCTCCCCGATTAAAATAAGATTGGAAGACGAAGTGCTATCCACTTCCAAAATGGCTTGCCTCCAGAAACCCTAAGAACTTGGTGAAATGATGAAAGTTATACAGGTGTTCATGTCTTTCGTTCATAGGGTCACTATGAGTTGTCTATGACTCAATGGCACTTAACAACAACAACATACATAATTTTAGAAAAATATTAAATATCATTTTAGAAAAACTAAACATCATTTATATAATATTTTATAAGCTGTATTTTTAGAAAATAATATTGCATTAAAATATTTCCTCATCATTCAGGGTTGCTGTGGGTGACAGTGATTCAATGGCACTTAACAACAATAACAACAACATTGAGTATTATTTTTATCATTTTACTGGTTGCACTGGATTTAACATATTTAAGTAATTCTCTAGTGTCAAAGATCTTAATTGATTAAAAATTATGTCTACCATAAATGCCACATTTGCATCCTTATTTAAAATCTAATATCTCCTTAAGAAAAGGCATGATGGTTTTGTTGTTGTTGTTGCTGTTATTTGGGAGATTTGTTTATTCTTTTCATAGTCCCTGGTATATTCAATCTTTTTTGCCAGCTCTACAATTCAAAGGTATAAATTCTTTGTTCTTCTTTATTCATTGTCTATTTTCCAGATGCATATGAAGCAATTAGAAAGAATATGATTTGGAACAAATGTACCTTAGTCTTAATCAGGTTTAGTAGTAATTGTAACAGGAAACTACTGGTTCATTCTTAACCTTTTATGGAAGCTCATTTTGAAGACTAAGGTGTGCCTGATTCAGGCCATGGTCTGTCCTCTCAATCGCTGGCTATTCATCAGTGAGCTGGACAATGAATAAGGACAAAGAAGAGGACCTGATGCCTTTGAGTTGTGGTGCTGAGAAGAGTGCTGAACATCCTGTGGCCTGCCAAAAAATGAACAAATATGTCTGGGGGTGGTGAGTGTAGCCAAAGTGAGTGGTGAGTGGCAAAGATGGTGAAGGTTTGTCTTTCATACTTTGGACATGTAGCCTGCTGAGGCTATTCCTTGGAAAAGAACACCAAGCTTGGACCTCCAACTAAATGGATTGAAACAGTGACGTCAGCAATGGGGTGGTTGTAGTGTGTCAGAGATGATGAGTATGACATGACATAGGGTTCAGGATGGCTGTACACAAGGTCGATATGAGTCATTCTTGACGAATAGAACCTAAAACAGCAACAATGAGGATGTTCCTACCTTGACACTGAATTGTTCTGAGACTCAAATAATGTAGCATATGTGAAAGCTTTATAAATCACAGAGCCCTCTACCAAGACAACACGTGTATGTACTATACGCCCTTATTTACCAAAGACCTTAACTAACTTGTGTCATAGATGCTGGTAATCTCGACCTGGGAGCACTTCATACAGGTTTCTAGGCTCCAAAGGATAAGATAAGCCTGGGAGTTAAAGAAGCATCTGCTCAGATATATCCCTCTGGTTAGTTCCTGGAACCTTGTCCTTTATGTCCATGCCCCACCTCCTTTATCCTCCCTCCAACTCCCTAAATTTGGTACTCAGATAAGGGAGCTAGAAATGGCCAGTTCAAATGCTTTTCCTTCTGGGTAAGCTGTGTTTAGCAGCCAAGTAGCACTTGAAGTTTAAGTTAAAAGATTGAAAACCGTCTGGCAGACTTTTATATGTTGGTTCACTAGAATGGACCTTCCAGAAAAGTAGATGTTTACTTTTGCTACATGTAAACATGGCTTTGTTTAGTGAAAATTGTAATAGACAAACCTGTTATGTTAACAATAGCACCAGAGAGGCACTCACTCCTTAGAATAAACAACTATACCAAGTTTCTCCTTGGAGGCTAGGATAATGAAGCTCCATCTCACATGCTTTGGGCACATGGCCAGTGGCCAGGAGGAACTGGGCCTTGGTGAAAGACCTCATACTTGGAAGGGTGGAGGGACAGAGCAGGAGAGGAAGACTCCGGATGGGATGGATTGGTACAGTAACTGGGGGAATAGTTGTAGGTATGTCCTAGTCAGGGAGACTGGCCTAGGACAGGGCAGGCTTCAGAGCTGTTGTACATAGAGTCGTCTGCTACTAATAGTGCCCCGATGGCACACAACAACAATAACATAAGATCAAAAGAGCAACATTTGCCCCGGGGTGAAGTCCTAGCTGTAGGAAAGAAGAAGTAATGGAAGTGAGAAATTATAAGGAAGAAGTGTTAATAGTTTGATGGCTCTGTGTCAGTAATGTAAGAAAACAAAATGTGTGTGAATGGGCGAATGAGAAGCCAATTTGCTTTGTAAACTTGCACTCAAATGACAATTTTAAACTACATGGGGAAAGGAGATATTATAAATTCCTGAAATGTGAGGGTGACACTCTTATAACTTTGAATATGTATATTTCTCAGCAATAAAGTATTTTATAATTCAGAACTAAAAGCACAGAAATTAAAAATATGGTATAGAAGATATTTCCTTTTTTTCTTTGTATTATAATGACTGTCTAATGTGGGGAAAGTGCAACCATATTCAATTTTTAAAAGCAGAGCACAAACTTTAAATACTATACTCTAACATAGTATTTTGAAATGGGAGTGCTTAGTGCTGCCCCCACAAAAGTATGCGATCCGAATTCACCAGCTACTCTGCGGGAGAAGGATGGGCAGTCTCTTCCTGTGTGATTTACCAGAGTGACCATTCTAAAATGCAGGTATAACAGTCTGACTTGAAGGAGGTTTTTGGTGGCTCTTCACTACCACCACACCCGCATCAAATTCTTTCCAAAGGGAAAAAAGACTCAATTCCTTCCCAGTCTGAATCTTACCTATCTGCTCTCCACATCCTTATTGTCTTAAATGGGAGGTAAGCTGTCCATTCCTGCACAAAGGCTTTACAAATAGTGGTACAAGTGCTTACAGGGACACTTCTTTCATCATCATAGGTCACATATGTATTTGCTCATATGGCACCTTTTTGGAAATTGGAAAAAAGAGTCTCATTTTTGTGGGATGCTGTATGTGCTGACTTGGCAAGTCAATGAACAACACTAGAATGTAAAGAAATGAATGTCCATTAGATGAGCAGAATATAAGCTGGATTTCAGCCCACTTGTGGTTTCCGCTTCTCTGTGTTTCAGCTTACTGTGTGGTTAAAAAATGAGCAATCTCCTCCCATGAGATTTACTGCCTCTGAAAGTCTATCAGAGGGTCAACTATGAGTCCTTTCCAACTGGACAGTAGATAACAACAACAGCAGCAGGGTAAAGTTTACACACAGAAACAATCGCAGAGGTTTGACAGGGATGAGAGGGCAGAGGGTGGGAGCAGAGACTAGAGAATGAATGGGAAGTGTGAAGGGAAAGGAACACTACAGATAACAACACTGTAGAATCGTAACCAATGTTATAAAATGTCATGTATATGAGGGATTGGATAGGAAACAACTTAAAAATATATAGAAGCTATCTTTAGTTCTTTTAACCTTGTGTATTAAAATTTCCTTTAATGGGAAAAATTGATAAAACAGTGGGTTCTTACTTATTTAACATTTTTGCCTTGGCAAAATCAAATGTTGGTGAAACAATAGAAGTCTCCAAAGTTTTGTCTGGTTAGAAGATTTGGGGTTTTATCCCTACATAAAACTTGAACATGTGAGAAAACACTATTTCAAGACAGAGATCAGCTCTCTAATTTTTCTGTTCCTGGTGTGCTGTGGTACCTGGCACAGGACAGGCATTCAATGATATTGTTTTATTAACTTCCAATATCAGTCAAGAGTGGAAGACCCTTGATAAGATGGATTGACTCAGTAATAACAACAACTATTGGTCAAAATTTTGCAAATATTTCAGAATTATTTAAGTTCTTGCTTTTCTATGGTCATTTTGGTTAATATGTTTGGTGCGTGTTGCAGTGCTTATAGTGGTAATTGCTACCTGATTGATCTGGGCTCATAACAATCCCCATGTAATGTATAATGCTTTCAAGGCTGAGGTCCTTCAAGTATCTCTGGATAACATTTGAACCACCAACTTTTTAACTGGTAATAAAGTGCTTAGTCTTTTATACTACCCAAAGATTGATATCCAGCTCTATATATATCTTTATATATCTGTATACATATCTCTGTATATATTTTTATGGAGAGATAGAGATGATAGAGATAGATAGAGATATAGAGATAGAAAGAGGTCATTAGCCATATATATGTAATATATGTATGCTGGTAATTTTAATCATTTTATCTGTATGATTTAATGGTATTAATGCTGACACTATTATACAATCATCATCACCATCTATTTCTAAAACTTTGTATTATCCCAGACTGAAAATTGTTATCCATTAAACAATACCATCACCCTTATTTCCTTATTCCAGTTAACAAATTTTTAAAAACAAATGTACATAACCAAATAAAGTCACCAAAAAAGCAGGTGAGAAACTTAAAGATTATATACAAGTCTACCCTTGGAAATGTAGTCAAGTTCAGTCAAAGAGAGGCATTAGTTATTGATACTCTGCAGTGTATACTAACCCAAGCTGTCTTCTAATACATATGGAATGGTATGAGGCCATCTATAATTATCTCCAATTATGGAATTCCTCTCTTGTGCCTGTCAAAAAGAAATAAATATGAACAGGGAAAATTAAATGAAGTTAGGTAACATTTTTGTAAATGATCAATAATTAGTCTAGAAATAAATGAAATTTACAGCTTTTCTAGCCAGCCCAAACACAAAATATGTGTATGTGTTCCAATTTTATCATAATACAATAATGTTTCTAAGGATAAATTGTTCATTTCTATCCTTAATCTTTTGGATAAACTTGTCATACAAAACAATATGAAGAATGATTTTTTAAACTGAACTATAATAGTGATTGAAATATAAATTAGCTTATTATACTAGAGATTAAAATAAACAAAAAGACATGGAGAACAAAACCTCAATTACTTGCATAATACTAGTGGACTAATAGACATCATGATATATGAGAAAAAAATTGACATTTTCAGCTATTTTATTTTATTTAGATCCATAATCAACATCCATGGTAGCAGCAGTGCAGAAATCAAAAGATAAACCCAAGTGTCCACCAACAAACGAATGGATAGAGAAGCTGTGGTATATCCACACAATGGAATACTACGCTGCATTGAAAAACAAGGAACTCATGAAATAATATACAAAATGGGTGACCCTGGAGGACATTATGCTGAGTGAACAATCTTGTTCACAAAAGGACAAATACTATATGCTGCCACTCTTGTAAATCTGACATACAAATACTATATGGTGCCACTCTTGTAAATCTGACATACAAATACTATATGGTGCCACTCTTGTAAATCTGACATTGGGGTTGGGGGGAACCTAAGAAAAGAGGGGATAAATAATATATACCACATTGAAAGAAATGAGGGAGAGAACTGTTTAAAATTATTATTAAATTAGGTATTATTTTCATGACAAGACTCAAGAAAAAGAAATGTATAGTAAAGGGGACTGTGAACTTGGGGATGGTGGAGATTGTATAATAATGAAAGAATTTTTTTTTCTTTTCAAAGAGAAAAGTTAACTGAGGGGGAGGGGTGGGCAGGGAGGTAACTGCAACAATGAATGAATGGAGAGGAAATTAAATGGGAAGAATATGCTGTAAAAAAAATAAATATATGTATATGAAAAAAATCAAAAGATGTATTGTAGGGAGCTCTGGTGGCCTAGTGGCAAGAAGCTGCACTGCAATCCCAGAGGTATGTGGTTTGAATCCACCAGATGCTCTGCTGGAGAAAGAGGGACAATCTCCTCTTATACCAGTCGGATCCGATTTGACTGTACACACACACAAATAAAATAAAAAAAAATTTAAGAACATGTGTTGCATTGAGGAAATGTGCTGTCAAGGCCTCATTAAGATCCTAAGGAGCAAGTATGTCAGTTTAAAGACTAAAGTCCACATGAACCAAGCATGAACAGTTTTCAGTTGTTTCCGATGCTTCTGAAATTTGGGCAATAAATAAGACTGAAGAGTGATACCTTTAAATTGTGGTGTTGGCAGAGGCTATATATCATGTACTGTCTAAAGAAGAAACAAAAGCATCTTTGAGGAAGTGCAACTGGAGTGGTGCTTAGAGACAAGGACCATGAAGCTTCATCTCACATATTTTGAACATGTTATCGGGAGGGTCCAGGCATTGGGGGGGGGGGGGAAGACATTCTGGGAAAGATAGAGTGTCAATGGAAAAAGAAAAAATAGAAGACTCTCAAGCAGATAGAGTGACACAGTGAACTTGAGCATGACACAGATTGTGAGGATAATGCAGGAGAGGAAAAGTCTCCAACCTGTTGCTCACAGGGTCACTTCATGAGACTTAGTCCACCAGCACCCAACAACAACAACATTATGTCGGGAAAAGCCACACACTGGTTAAGTGAAAAGTTTTTAAAAAATTGGTAAATGTTTTCATTTTTTATAACAAAACTATTAGTACTTTAGTAAGGTATCTTTTTAATAACAATTATTCCATCTAGCAGCTCAGAGAAAAGGTATTATCTTTAATAAAATCTGATATGTTTTCAATGGACAATCTCCTCCCGCACGATTTATTACCTTTGAAAATACCCCCTGGAGGGACAGCTATGAGTCAGTTCCAATACAATGACAATGAAGTTGTTTTGGCTGAATGGGTCCAAAAATAGAAAACTGTTCTAAAGTCTAGAGACCCAATGGTTATAACGACAAAACTGGAAAACACCAACGTCCCTGTCTTCCTGAACCTTAGATCTGGTGGAGAAGAGATTATAAGCAAATAAACAGAATGCTTTCCATAATTAGGGAAGAAATACAAAAGGGAGGGTTGAATTAGAATTAAGGATTGGAAGGGTACTTTAAATGACCATGGTGGGAGTTTCTAAATAATGCCCTTTCTACATGCTCCCCTAGCTCTTGAAACGTAATCATAATGTTTATTTCATTCTATGTAAACTGATATGAGAATGATAGGAAAGAGCCATGATTGAAATGAACCTTGAAAAGACTTTTAAACAAAGGAAAAAGTTATTTCTCTAGTTCTTAGATGGGGATATACTTGGGATGGTTTGAGACCAGCAGCCTAACGAACTAGGGGAGAGAAAAGAACTAAAAGTAGAGGTAGGCCAATGTTAGATCATGCAAGACCTTGGAGGTTATGGCTAGATTTGAGATTATGGTAAACACAATAGGAAGCTTCTGAAGAGTTTGAAGTCTGGAAATGAAATTATGTCATTTGTCTATTACAAAGACCACCTTAAGGGAGCTCTGGTAGCCTAGTGCCAAGAAGCTGCACTGCAATCCCAGAGGTACGTGGTTTGAATCTACCAGATGCTTTGCTGAGGAAGGCAGGGCAATCTCCTCCTGCACCACAGTACACACACAAAAATTAAAAAGAAAAAAAGAAAGACCACCTTGCTATGGAGAATCAAGAGCTTGTGGAGAGCAGGAAAGATATTTTAGGTGTCAGGCAATTCTGACTCATATCAACCCAGCGTGGCAGAGTGGGTACTGTATAGTTCTCCTTGGCAACTGTAAACTGTGTGTTTTCCTTGGATGCAGATTGCTAGGTCTTCCTCATACGTAATTGTTGGTGTTGTGGTGGTGAGCTGTTGACTCAGGACATTTCTATAACTGACCATCTAGGAGGTTTTCAGAGAAAGTAAATCAATGGGAGGAGATCATCCATCCTTCTCTCTACAGAGTAGTTGGTGGATTGAAACTTTCACTTAACTATTATCGTTTAACTCATAATAATTTCAATTCTGGGCAATCCTTAGTAAAAGAAAACGAATACTAATATGCTCCAGTGGATTCAAACATCGGTCTTTTTGTTAGTAACCTAGCACTTAACCATTATAGTACCAGGACACCTTGGAAAAGATCATAAGCGGGCAAACCTCAAAACAGAAAAATTAATTAAGAAGTAAAACTAATTAAGAGAAATGTAAAAGGAGATAACGGTAGGTTTCCTTTATGAGGAAAAGTGAAGAGATTGAGAATATAGGTTGGAGATAGAAACTGTAGGTCCTGCTGATGAATTCGATAGGAAAGAGGGAAAGAAAGAGTGACTCCTGAATATTTTATCTATTCAGTGGATTGGGTAGGGGATTGGTGATGACTTTACCAAGACGGAAGAAGAGTTTCAACAGATAATCACAAACTGGTTTAGAATATACCAGGTTTATGACTTTTGGACATCCAACTGGAGCTAACAAATAGGCATTTGTGTAGACCACTTTGTAACTCAGTAGAAGTAAAGGATTGTTTTTAGTTGTTCTTTTTAATATGATTTTTTACTTTAATTGTGATTTTAATAGAAGTTTACAGAAAAGCTGGATTTTCATTCATTCAGTGTTGCACATTTTCCCCCTTCCTTCCCTTACCCTCCCTCAGTTCACATCTTTTTTTCTTAATATTCATTCATTGTTGCATAATTACCTCCCTCCCCCATCCTCCTCCTAGTCCCCTTTACAATGGACCTCTTATTCTGGGGTGTTGTCATACCTTTAATGCCTAATCATATATTCTTTTTAAATAATTCTTTCCTTCGTCTGTTCCAATGCAATGGTCATTATCTATCCACTCTTATCCTATCACCTCCCCAAACCCCCACATCAGTTCTGCTTTATAACAGTGGTGCTAATGAAGTATTTGTCCTTTTGTGACTGTCAGCACAGTTGTTTTTAGTTGTCATCAAGTTGATTCCAATTCATGGAAGCACTATGTGTACAGAATGGAAAAGTTCCATAGTTATCAAGCCTTAAACTCCTGGGTGGGTTTCAGGTAATCAATAGTCCAGTAGTTAACCATTTGTGCCATCTACGGATGCAAGAGAACTCCGATGGCTTAATGGTAAGAAGTTGTGCTGCCAACTCAAACACAAGCAGCTTGACTCCACTAGCTGCTCCATGGAAGAAAGATAGGCAATCTCCTCCATGCAAGGTACTGCCTCTGAAAACACACCGGCGTGTCAGCTGTGAGTTGGTTCTTACTCAACAAAACATAATGATAGGGGTGCAGAAGTGGACTAGTAAGGAATACCGAAGAGTGTCCATTTGTGCTTTATTGACTATGCAAAGGCTCTTGACTGTGTGAATCATAACAAGTTGTGGCTGACATTGAGAGGAATGGGAAACCCAAAGCACTTAATTGTGCCCATGCGGAACCCAGACCTGGACCAGGAGGCTGTTGTGCAAACGGAACAGGAGAATAGCAGTATATGGTTTAAAACTGAGAAGGGAGTGTGGCAGGGTTGTGTTCTCTCGTTCTCTCTTTCAGAGAGAATTACTTACTGACAGAGCTAAAGCACTTTCTAACACTTGCTCCTGGTTAATCCGAGAGTCCCGAGGGGCTGAAGTCTCAAGGGGCTGGGAGCCAAAAAAGAGGCCTGCCTTCAGACACAACTCAAAAGTTATCTTGACAGAGAAATATATCTTGAGTCTTTCCTGATCCTGAAGTATAGCCTATTACTTCCCTTATAAACCACACAATCTTGAATATTTGTGAATTGTGTATATCATATGCAATTAATTGCGTTTTTAGTCTTTTTAAAAATTTTATACTGGTTTACACACATTCTTGAACACAGCAGAGTACCTTGGAAGGGATTATTGATGTAAAAATTTTTAAACACGTCTGAGAGAGGAGGTATGTCTGAACTCCACCTCATGGGAATCAGTCTTGGGCTGTTGACCCTGACTCTTAATTCCTTATGAAATTAAAAGAAGTCAGATGGCTTTGCCATGCCTTTTATACATGAGGCAGGCATAGTAAGTGATGGTGTCTTTGATTATATGGTGTAAGTCTGAGTAATGAATGAAGAAAACGCTGATTAAGGCCCTCTCTATGAACCTAGAGAAAGGATGAAAGTCACACAAGAGTCAAGGACTTTCATTCATAAGGTCGCTATGAGTTGCCTACGATTTGACAGCACTTTACAACCACAACAACAGTACACTGTAGTCAGGGAATAAATGTCTCCCCTTTCATTCTCAGCCCATGCTTACCAATGTCCATGGTGCCCTAGAATTCCCATAAACACAGGCTGTGTTTTAGCTTGCAGTTATTAAGTGAAGAAACTTGCTGGAATAATTTTCCACTCACCCTGTCAAGTTTGATGTCACCTTCAAAAAGATCCAGTCCCAGCTCTAAGAGAAAAGATGAACACGCATGTTAGCAAATTCAATTCAGACGCCCCACTTAAAATACAACTTCAAAAAAACCAAACTTTACAAACCTTCATTTATATCGAAAATGTCCTTCTCAATTCCAGCATCTACATCTTTTAATAAAATAACAAAGAAAAACCATATGGATCATTATATTTCTTAAATAATAAATAATTCTTAATCATCAAATTAGAAATAAGCAATATTCCCTTTGACTCAGCTAAGCGAGTATTAGGTTCTGATTGGACACGCATTGGTTGGCTGAGAACTATGAGGTAGGCTCTGGGTGAAGTTCTTTTCTATACAATCTGACTCACTAGTATGAATATCTGATGACTCGAGGAATAAAGTACTGGTCACTCTTACATTAAGCTTAATTTGAAGGATTGAATGATTAAAGAAGGAAAAACATTCATCTTATCAAATAAGTCAAATCTATTAATAAATGTATAGTTGATTACAGTATAATTTGGGATTAGCAAAATTAGGTTTTAAATTACCTAAATTAGGTTTTAAATTACCAAGGAGTAGATCATCTGGCCAAATATGCAACCAGATAGAAGGAGACTGTATTATCAGATCCATCTTGATTTAACAGAAAAGAACAAAAAGGAGTCCCTTTGTTGTACACACATTTAATTGCTTAAAAGGTAGAGGATTCAAATCTGCCCAAAGCCTCTTTGGAAGTTGAGCCCGGCACCTGCTTCCAGGACATCTTATGGAGCAGTTCGACTCTGGACATGAGTTGGAATATTTTCAACAACAACTGATTGCTGGCTTTGTTTTGGTTTTTATTTTTCTGTTGTGTTTTTTTTGGTAAGATACCGAAAAGTGGTATCCACTTCTGAAATAGCTTGCCTCCAGAAACTCTATGAACATGGAGAAACAACGAAAGTTATACAAGTCTTCAGGTCTTTCGTTCAAAGGGTCGCTATGACTAGTCAATGATTCGACGGCACCTAATAACAACATCTATCGCTTATGTATTTGATCTTTTCTCTGCCACCATCTATTTTCCTCCTGGATACTTGAACCCCTGAACTATGTGTCAGTAAAATGTCCCTCAATAAATCAAAAGAAGCATTAAACTATGTTAAGACAAAACACATTGCCTAGTATTAAATGTGTCCTAACTTCTTAGTTTCTGCTTTCTGTTATCCTCTAACCCTCTTGTATTAAAGCTTAGAGAAAAATTCAAAAGACTCACCAAAGTTTTCTGGAGTTGGCTGGGAAACAAACACATTTTTTTAAAAAAGATATTTAAATACCCGTGATATATAGATAGTTTTCTTAGACCATATTTATATCCAGACATCTGCTTTGTTCATTAACATTATGGATTACTTCCTAGCCTATCCTAAGACTTCTAAACTGGATTCTAACACCACTTCACTGACCAAAAGTTATTCTCATTTCATACAGAAATTAAAACTGTTGGATGAATTTTCAGATTAAAGAAATGAGAAACTTAACTTCACAGATGAAAAAGAAAACTGAAGAATATTTTAGAAAATCATTTTCAAAGTAGACAAAGTATTCTCTTATTTGAGAGTAAGAGTTTTATGCTCTGTCCTCTTTTTTAAAAAGCTGAATAATTTATTCCCAACATAGAAATAGCATAACAATCCTGTAAAATAAATCTTCTTCACATTTCCCTCCAGACTCTGCTTTCAAGCACCAAATATTTAAGAAAAAAGTTAACTGATTGGTTTTGTGATTTTAAAAAAAGAAGAACAAGAAACTTCTGAAATATGATTCTGTACAAGTGGCCAAATGACATCCAAGCTATATACCCAATAGAGGAAAGTGCATAAATTTGGAATA